CTTCATCAATCAACCAGTTTTCATTAGAGTTTTATAAAGTCTTACCCAGTTCAGTGTTACGATCTTAAAGTTATCAGAAACGTATACTTTAGAGTACTTGTTTAGGACTCGGCGCTTTCACTGCCTGGGCCCGGGTTCAATCCCTGGTCGAGGAATTAAGATCCTGAAAGCCACCCAGCGTTGCCAAAAACAAGACGGGGGTGGATTCCCTGGTGGTCCAGTCGTTAGAGTACTTGTCAGGGTCCTTTCCATGAATCTTTTTGAAGATGAAGCATTTTTGCCTGTAGTTGACTGTAAGTGCATTCAGAGAAGAATAGAGAATAAAAAACAACTGTGAGTGACGAAAGACTTAAAAATAGCCATGGTTAAAATTCACCAAAAAATTGATGCAATTGAGAGGCAAATTGTTTTGTTTTTTTTTTTGCGGTACGCGGGCCTCTCACTGCCGTGGCCTCTCCTGTCGTGGAGCACAGGCTCTGGACGCGCAGGCCCAGCGGCCATGGCTCACGGGCCCAGCCGCTCCGCGGCCTGTGGGATCCTCCCGGACCAGGGCACGAACCCGTGTCCCCTGCATCAGCAGGCGGACCCTCAACCACTGCGCCACCAGGGAAGCCCACAAATTGTTATTTTTGTGATGTATAATACTATAAAATAATAACGGAAATTATGACTGATAACATTACAGCAGGACATAGATTTTTAGGAATTTCATATAATTTCTGAATTACTTATATTAATAATATACAACCATGTAAATAAATCTAAGAAAGTTAAACATTAGTTTTTATTTATGTTTCCCATGTAACTTAACATATCAAATAAGCCTAATAAATTAACATTTCTCTATTATAAGGAGAGAGAGCAACTCTTTTGAAGTCTTCCAGGCACCCTCTGGAAAATCCCTAAGTTAGTTTGAGGTCAAAAAGACTTCAGTCAGAATTTGATTTTGGGAAGTGTGTCAAAAATGTCAAAATGGGACTTCCCTGGTGGCACAGTGGTTAAGAATCCACCTGCCAATGCAGGGGACACAGGTTCAAGCCCTGGTCTGCGAGGATCCCACATGCTGCGGAGCAACTAAGCCTGTGCGCCACAACTACTGAGCCTGCATGCCACAACTACTGAGCCTGCACTCTAGAGCCTGTGAGCCACAACTACTGAGCCCACGTGCCACAACTACTGAAGCCCGAGTGCCTAGAGCCTGTGCTCTGCAACAAGAGAAGCCGCCACAATGAGAAGCCCAAGCACCGCAACGAAGAGCAGCTCCCTCTCGCCACAACTAGAGAAAGCCTGTGCACAGCAACGAAGACCCAATGCAGCCAAAAATAAAAATAAATAAGTAAATAAATTTAAAAAATAAAATAAAATAACTTAAAAAAAACGGTCAAAATGTTTAAGACACTTGATCAAATAGGATCACAGGTCACTGTGAAATGACACTTATTCATTCAACCAAGGTGACAATTAAAAGATTTCAAAGGCAAATACAGAAAGTTATATACAACTGACCCTTGAACAACATAGAAACACAACCCTCCATGCAGTGAAAAATCCACCTGTAACTTTACAGTTGCCCCTCCAAATCTGAGGTTCTGTATCCTTGGATCCAACCAACCTGGAATCGTGTAGTACCTATCTACTGAAAAAAATGTGAGTATAAGTGGACCCATGCAGTTCAAATCCATGTCGTTCAAAGGTCAATTGTAGTTGTAAAATACCCTAGCTTTTTTAACAGAGAAGACTCAGTTTTCTTAAGTAATCAGACTTGATAAAGACAACATGAAGCACAGGAAATTATTTTCATAAACAACAGAATCTTTGTTTTCTAGGCAGACTACTTGAAAAGTAAAGAAAAACCTTTCAGAGTCTTACCAAGAGCAGACTAAGAGTCTAATAAAACTTTGTCCTTTTAGCAGATGAAAGAACATTGTTTTAGTTTTACATAAGTACACTATTTATTAAAGGTTATTTTTTAAAAACCTTATAATATATCTATTCAATTTTAGCCAGATTTGTCCTCACACATAAAATTTATTTTCCATAAACCTCCTGAAATGTTCTATATCCATTTAGGTTTTGTCTTATTTTTTTTTTTCTTTTCTTATTCTGGAACAACCAGTCATTTTTTTTTAGACAACATTGCTCTCTTTTCCCTTAAAATCTTATATTCCTTGCATACGCTTCATATAAAACTATATCCCATTTTCTTCCCATATGTTGTATGCAGAGTTGTTTCCCTTTGCTAAGTTTAACTATTACTAATCTTTACTTCCCAGTGAAAACTAGGAAGCAGGCAGTTGTGAACTGTTTATCACATATTAACATTCTGTAGTAAATTAGCAAATATATAAATACAATCATTCCTCCATGTCTTCGGGGGATTGGTTCCAGGACCCCTGTGGATACCAAAATCAGCAGATGCTCAAGTCCCTTATATAAAATGATGTATATTTGCATGTAACCTACACACATTCTCCTGTATGCCTTAAATCATCTCTAGACTACCTATGATACCTAATACAATGTTAATGCCATGTAAATTGTTGCCAACATGTGGTAAAATCAAGTTTTGCTTTTTGGAACTTTCTGGAATTTTTTTCTGAATATTTTCAATCCACAGTTAGTTGAATCCATGGATGCAGAACCCAAGGATACATGGTGCCAACTGTACATAAATAATTTATACTTTTTAGAGACATGTTTTTCATAGCATACTTTTTTTAATGCGGCAAATGACATATTTATGAACAGACCCAGATATCCATTGTCTCTCTATAAAAATTAAAAAGCCAAAAGTAGATAAACTTATCTTTATGTTTAGTGATCAATATCTCAGTATACTATCTTATTTGGATATGACCTAGATATTCAAAGTATATCCATTATTTAGTTAAACTTAGTATAAACTTTTATCTTATTTAAATTGATTTAAATTATTTTTTCTTAACAGTTATGCTTAGATTAGACATCAAACAGCTAACCATCATCTTAAGCTATTTTTCTGGCTGACAATTTTGTAATATAGAGATAGCATGAGGTAATTTGACTAGTAAACCCAGGAAGAAAAAGTTGTATGTTTATGCTATACTTAATGCTGACAATTCTGAAAACATGACTGTTTTATTAAACTAACAGACTTAAACTAGTTTTTATTTATCCAAGATTATCCCAGATCATGTGAACTTAAAAAATATTTGAGTTAGATTCTATATTTCTGTTTTTTACGAATACTTTATACAAGCACTTAGTCTTCTTTTAGCCAATTAAATAGAACGCGTTTAAAATTATCACATATACATAATATAGATACTTACATAGGTAAACATATTGACAGACACAAACTGAGACCTTTTAGCTTTCATTTAAAAATTTTAGGGACTTTCCTGGTTGTCCAGTGGGTAATGCTCCCCGCTCCCAATGCAGGGGGCCCAGGTCGATCCCTGGTCAGAGAACTAGATCCTGCAAGCATGCTGCAACGAAGATCCTGCGTGCCGCAGCTAAGACCCAGCATAGCCAAAATAAATATTAATAAAAAGTAAAAATTTTAGCCATGTCACAGGTACAATAATACAAAACCCAAAAGAATAGCTGGATCCAAATTGTGTTCCTGGCTGCTGGACTAAGCTAAGGTTACCTGCTCAGATGACCAAAGTTTTTTGCTGAAGATTGTTGTTTGCATGCTGTAAGGATTCTTTTAGAAAAGCTAGTTTTGGAATCATTTTGTGTTTTAGAAACTTCTGCATACCAATCAAAGAATGCATTCTATTGTCTCTGAGAAGTTTGAGATCCTCTTTTCAGGTAGACTTGTCTAAGTTGAAGTTTCCCTAAAGTGGCCATTACAATTCCAAATTATCCAAAAGTTCACTCATTTTCCAAAAAGGCACAAGTTCCTGGTCCATAGTGGGTGTACATATAGGAAATAGGAATTTTTGAGGACAGTGGAGCAAGAGTTTTAGACCAGGTAGAACCCATCTTTGCCTTTGGATTCCCTAAAACAAATAATCTACAGGGAGCCCTGTAATCCTACTGCTCCCTAAAACCCAGGGAATCACAGGTTTCTACCCTTACAGACAAAAGGGTGACTTACCAAGAAGCTTCAACAAACAAAATACAGGTATGCACAGTAAAGTCAGAGAGTTCAAAACGTAAAGAGCATGGAGCTGGGATCCAAGAGAAACCCTTACCCTCTGAAACCGTAGTGGAATACTTGCATGCCTCCTCCTAGCTTTCAGTAGTTTACAGCAATCTTTGGTGCCCCTTGGCTTGTAGACGCATCTCTCCAGCCCTCCATCTTCACATGGCCGTTTTGTGACACCAGTCACATTGGATCATGAGCCCATCCTACTGCAGTACGTCTTCATTTAACTTAACTAATCACATCTGCAATGACCCTACTTCCAAATAAGGTCACATTCTGAGGTCCTGAGAATCAGGACATCAACATATCTTTGTTGGGGGGACATAATTCAGCCCATATCACAAGTCTAGAGGAAGAACAGTTACTTCAAGGAGGAGGATTGGAAGACTCTGTAGGAGGATGGGCCCAAGAAAGAGGTGGTAGATGGTGGGCCCAAGCAGGTTGGGGAGAGGGAATAGCAAGCATCTCAATTTGGCTTCAGTGGACATTTGTCAGGAGGGTGGATGGAGAGGATGATGGAAGGTGGATTGTGCCAGCTCACGCAGGGCACTGGATGCCCGGGATGCTTAATGATGATGGTGTTTTATTCAATGCTGTATGCCAGGCACTGTGTTACCTATTTAATGTTGACAGGCATTACCTATTTTATGTTAACTTATTAAACCCTCCAAAAAGTCCCATAAAGTATTGTAGAAACAAAATAATATATGTAGTTCCTCTCTTTGAAACAAGAAAGTGTGAAATCAGAAATGTGGACTTTTATTTTATTAAAACGAGAAACAGTGAAGCCCAAAAGTACTTTACTTGTTCAGGCACTGAGGCTTCCCATCGCTAACCCCATTCTTTCTGCTGCCACCCCCCACAGAAGCATGACAACCTGAACGCTTCCTTTCTGAGCCTCCTGCAGTCCTGGCCAGTGGCACTTAAGGTTCTTCCTGGAATCTTCCTCTCTGTGATACAAAAGGAATAAGAAGAACCCCCTCTCTGGTGCTTACCTACCTCCAGAAGGCTTGCAGACAGCTTATAAGAAAAATAAACCCCTATCTCAGCAGTTTTCAACGTACGTTCTCCAGAACCCTGTGTGACCCAAGACCCTTTCAGATGGCTTGCAGGGTGGAAACCGTTTTCACAATAACACTAAAATGGTATTTGCCTTCACTATATTGACATTTGCCCAAATGGTACAAAAGCAACAGTGGGTAAAATCGCTGGTACAACCTAAATCAAGCCAGTGGCACCAAATTGTACTTAGTAGTAACCATATTCCTCACTTACATGCATTCACACAGTTTAAAAAAAAAGTGTTTCACTTAAGAATATTCATGATGATGCTGTAAGAGTTATTAATTTATTAAATCTCAAACTCTGAGTACAAGTCTTTTGCATTCTGTACGACAAAATGGGAAGTTTGCATAAAGCACTTCTGCTGCATACTAAAATACTATGGTTTTCTTCAGGAAAAACACTGTGCAATTGTTTGGCTAGCAAGCCAAACTAGCCATTTTTTCATGGAACATCATTTCTTCCGGAAAGAACAATTGGCAGATGAACTGAATATTTAGACTTGAGCATTTGGCAGACATTTTCTCAGAAATGAATAAATGGAGCCTATCGATTCAAGAAAAACATTACTTGTTGCCTGTGATAACATTCAATCTTTCAAGCAAAAATTAAAATTTTGAAAAGCTTATACTCAGAGCCATGAGCTCAACAGGTTTTCAGTCATTAAAACACTTGAGAGCTTGGTGGTGATATTAACAAATGTGATTTGTTTCATGTTGTATAATAACTAGGTCAAAATTTGGAAGTTCTGCTTAACTCAGTGAACCAATATTTTCCAGTGGTCAATGCATAGTCATATAAATCCATGCACAGATTTTCTATGCACAGATCTGTTCAAAGTACAAGATGCTCTAATTGACTGTAGTGTAACAGGATAAAAACTCCATTGATAAGACTTCATATTGCACATTGCAGCTAACCTTTAAGAAGCTACCACTTATCAAGTGTTGGTGTAGTATCAAAGAAGAATATCCGCAACTATCTGAAGGCTCTAAAAATTCTCTTCCCTTTTCAAACTACAGATCTACATGAGGTTGTATTTTCTTCATATACTTCAACCAAAACAACCTATCACAGCAGATTGAATGTCAAAGTAGATATCAGAATCCAGCTATTTTTTATTAAGCCAGACATTAAAGAGATTTACAGAAAGACACACAGTGATGCTCTTCTCCAAACAAAATAATTACTGGTAAAACATCATTTTTGTAAGAAGATGTGAGTTAACATGTAATGGGTTTATTAGTGTTATTTTAATTGAATTAATACGTAAAAAAATTTAAGTTATTATTTTAAATTTCTAATACAGTAAATAGTAATACTTCCAACCCACATGAATGAAAGATCTTTGTCATCCTCAATAGTTTATAAGAGTATAAAGGATCCTAAGAACAGAAGTCTGAGAACATTGCTCTTGTTCAAGGTCACTGCTGGCAGGAGGTATCTGTTATGTGCCACAGAAGCATTCATGTTTGTAAGTGTTGGAAATACCTTCTCTTCTGCTAATCAGAGGAGCTAAAGAATACAGATTTTTGATGATCCAGGGCTAATCATGATGAAGTAAGCAATTCTAATCGAATTGAAGAAATAGAAACAAGACTTAGTTTAACTATACTCTCTTGTTCCAAGGACACATTTTTCTGCTGTGATGACTTTCCCCTTCATCTGTAAAGAGATCCACGTGTTTCTGCTATTTCCACCTGTACACAAACCTTTAATGTCTGTGTGGTTGTCTAGGAATTGTGAACTGTATTTTATAGAATTATGTTAAGTTACAAAATACAACTGGTATAGACGATATTGATTGCTTTAAAACCACTTCTTAATTGCTTCAGATATCATTACACTGAGGCTGGACTTTCTGGGCTCCTGACACCATTTCCCAGGCCCCATGGGCCTGACCTCAGCACCCATCTGCTAGCAGCACTTGTGCCTCCCCTCTGCTCCCAGGCGGGCCTTCATGTCCACTCCAGGCCATGCTGCCCATTGAGAGCACTTTCCTCACTTCCAACGTGCTCGATGATTCTTGGTCTTTCTATTTCAAGATAACTGTAATCTAAATAGGATTTGGAGATGGCTCAATAAAGAGAAAAAACAGGAAGAAAAGCTGTGACTCCCCAGGAGCATGGGTGCCTCATGCTCAGTGGCCAAGCAGAACTGAGGGTCCTCACACTGATTCACAGCACAGAGGGGAACCCAATGAACCAGAAGTCTCCCCACAGCCTCAGGGAACCCCCAACAGTGAGGGCCCCTTCCCCTGGGGACTCAGGCTTGGATAAGCCAATGCACCCAGTTGGGTTTCTCCACTTACATTTTCGCTTTCCGATTTCATGTTATCTTTTTTTAACTTGTCTATATCTATTAGTTGGTTTAAATCCCTTCTGGAGCAAGGAGGGAGGGAGATGACTGGTCTGTGAGCTTGCTGGTGACTTAATAAAGAGCCGGCAGATACACACTACTGTATATAAAATAGGTAAACAACAAGGACCTACTGTATGGCACAGGGAACTATATTCAATATCTTGTAATAACCTACAAAGGAGAAGAATCTGAAAAAGAATATATATATATATAACTGAATCATTTTTGCTGTACACTTGAAACATTGTAAATCAACTATACTCAGTTTGGGCAGGGATGGAGAGATGTATATCCAGCTCTCACTTTTAGCGTTCACTAAGAATCCCCACTTCACCAACCTCTCAGGTCTCTGCTGAGGGCTTTCAGACAGACATTGGGAGAGCAGTTGGCCTGACTAGGGTGAGTAAGAACAGGAAGCTTGAATACAACAACTACAATGTTTGCTCTCACTCAGTCCTCACATCCACCTGTTGACGAGGCTCTGTGTCCGTCCAAACTCGGAGGCCTCAAGGAGCTAGCATTTGAACGAGAAAACCATAAAACTCTTAGTCCTGCTTATCTTTTTTTTTTTTTTTTTTTTTTTTTTTTTGCGGTACGCGGGCCTCTCACTGTTGTGGCCTCTCCCGTCCAACACTAAGCAATCATACCCAGAAGCCAATGACATCCACCATTAAGGAAAACTGTCTTCAAGTCTTAACTAACAAAGTCAAAGACAAAGGCAAATGTTTTTTGTAAAATCTTCTCAGCCCAACCTCTGACATGTAAGGACAACAGCGTCTGGCAGCTACCGATAGCTTCTGGTATTCTTTCTGGCCCCTCCATGGATTTTTTCTTATCTCATCCAAGTGTTTCTTTAAGCTTTTACTGTAAAGAAGAAAAGGGATTTGGAAAACCACACAAGACAAATGTGCAGCTTAAGATAAACACCCCCACAGAGGCCACAACACAGCTTCGTGGCAGCCCAGGGATGCCCACCAGGCCTCTCTCCCTTTCCAGGAAGGAGACAGAAGTGTCCTGATGTCCTGCTGGCTCAGGGACTGCTTGCAAGGGGAGGGGGTGCTCCTTCTATGCCCCCTGGGCCCTCCAGCGTGCTTGTCCTTCTTCCCACTGGCCACACCGAGAAGGGAGGATGCCATCCACTGTTAGAACAAACATGATTTGGGGGCTCAGTGCAGCCGTGCAGCCAGCGCCATCCTGACACATTTGCAGAGGGTGGATCTCGGGGTCTGGTGAGAAAAAGGAGTCCAATGGCTCTTGGAGGCAGCGGGATGGCCTCAGACCAGCTTTAGAATAATGGACATTGGTAGGGCAATGGCTACACAACTAAAAATATGAGTTTCCCAACTTGCTGCCTTTAACTCGTGCAGGAATGAGAGTTACTAACCTAGTGCAGTAACCATACTCTGACAATAGTTGCCTGTAGGCTGTCTCCAGGCTGACCTGGGTCTCTGCCAGGGCTCCCACCAGCTGGGTCCAGGACCCAAAGTTAGGAAACGCCTCATTTTCTTCATCTTCTAAGCCTCAAGGTAAGTTTTTCTGGAAGACACTTGACCAGCTGTTCTTAATTGATAAGGGGCTTAAGCTGCCCATATGTTGTTGATGCGGGGATACTATCTGACACATTTTTATCCCAAATTACAGCTCTTGTAAACTACGCTCCTTTTTTTCAAAAAAGAGAAATCACATGCATCTGCCTTTTGGTTTACTGGCATGATGAGCCTTGCACTTGCTACAAGTGCTGGCTTAAGACAGTGTCATAGTTAGACAGTTAACGCTGCAAAGGCAGCTGCCCCTGCTGGGGGCCATGGCCTCTGTGGGGACATTTCTCTAGCTGAGCCACCTTTACAACCCTGCCTATTTCAAAGTCATATCCAAACACAGTCAACAAGGTTGCCAGAGAGCAGCTCGGAGATGACATCACCCCTAATTAGCAGCTGAGAGAGGAGGGCATGAAAAACAGGACGATGCACGATGCAGGTACAGGGAAAAAAAGATGCTTGAAATAATTTCTATCCTATTAAATTGTTGAGGCTGAAGTCCAATTGGTCTATTTTGTCATTTAGGATCTCTGTTGCCTTATTTTCTGTTTGGAAAATCTGTTCATTGATGTCAGTGGGGTGTTAAAGTCTCCTACTATTATGGTATTCCTGTCAGTTTCTCCCTTTATATCTGTTAGTATTCATTTCATTTATTTAGGTGCTCCAGTATTGGGTGCATATATGTTAATGAGTATAATATCCTCTTCTTATATTGATCCCTTTATCATTATATAATGTCCTTCTTTGTCTTTATGGACTTTGTTTTAAAGTCTATTTTGTCTGATATGAGTATTGCTATCCCAGCTTTCTTGTCATTTCTATTTGCATGGAATATCTTTTTCCATCGCCTTTCAATCTGTGCATGTCTTTCACCCTGAAGTGAGTCTCTTGTAGGCAACATATTGTAGGTTTTTGTTTTCTTTAATCCAGTCTGCCATTCTGTTTTTTTATTAGGGCATTTAGTCCATTGACATTTAAAGTAATTTTTTTTTAAGTAAAAACAAGGTTTATTTCAGTATACACAATGAATCATCAAGGAAGGGCAACTGAGCTTCAGCGTCATTAGAAATAAAAAGCTGGTAGAATAAACTGCGTTTTTGTTTTTGTTTTTTTTACATCTTTATTGGAGTATAATTGCTTTACAATGGTGCTCCCACCAAAAGACACAGATTGGCTGAACAGATACAAAAACAAGACCCATATATATGCTGTCTACAAGAGACCCACCTCAGACCTAGAGACACATACAGACTGAAAGTAAGCAGATGGAAAAAGATATTCCATGCAAATGGAAACCAAAAGAAAGCTGGAGTAGCAATTCTCATATCAGACAAAATAGACTTTAAAATAAAGACTATTACAAGAGACAAAGAAGGACACTCCATAATGATCAAGGGATCAATCCAAGAAGAAGATATAACAATTGTAAATATTTATGCACCCAACATAGGAGCACCTCAATACATAAGGCAAATACTAACAGCCATAAAAGGCGAAATCGACAGTAACACATTCACAGTAGGGGGCTTTAACACCCCACTTTCACCAATGGACAGATCATCCAAAATGAAAATAAATAAGGAAACTCCTTCCAAAAACAACAGAATACACATTTTTCTCAAGTGCTCATGGAACATTCTCCAGGATAGATCATATCTTGGGTCACAAATCAAGCCTTGGTAAATGTAAGAAAATTGAAATTGTATCAAATATCTTTTCCAACCACATCACTATGAGACTAGATATCAATTACAGGAAAAGATCTGTAAAAAATACAAACACAT